TTCGTGGGCATCTCTCCGCCCAGGCAGAGCCGGAGGCCTCCCTCCCATCGAGGGCCAGAAGGGACGCCCCTCCTTAGATCATGTGCGTCCCTCGGGAAGAGGAGGCATTGCAGCCTCCGTCTCCCCCCGAGCGAGGGTTTTTTGGCTCCGGGTCCCGCCTGTTTTCCTGCCGAAAGGAGGGCTTCTGCTCTTCTGCCTGCCTCCCCAACCCCCCTGCTTGTGTTTTGTCTTCTCCCCGCTCCCCATAAATGCCAGTAAGGGGTGGGGGAGATGGCGTGTGCAATGCGGGTAAAGCCAAGCGAGCATTCTCACGTTACCCCCTTCTCGTTTACTGGCCTTCGTGGCAGCGTTTCTGGTGGCCAGAAGATGAGGCAGCTTTTTCTTTTTCTTTTTCTTTTTCCCAATTTCAGTATTAGTCTTGGATTCGAAAACCAATTCGGAGTTCTGGGCCCCTGTGTCGTTGAATCGAAGTGCCTGACAGGGTTTTGAATATCGTTTTGGGAGGAGGTTGGGGTCTGAGTGGAGAAACTAGGCTCAGGATATAGGTTGGGTCCCTGGTGGGGTGGAAAGATGCTGTTCTGCCTTCTGTGATGGATGGCAATTTCATCTTCATCTCTTCTGATCAGTGTGGCAATTAGGGCCGCTTTGCATGTATATGTGTGTGTGTGTGTTTTACATTAGGAAGCAAATTTGAAATTGTAATAGGATTTTCTGTTGAAGCATTGCAGAGCAACTTAAGAAACCATTTTGGGCAAGCAGCGAGATCCCAGTGGTGGAGAATTTCCCAGACAGAAAACCACATCTTACTGAGCCTTGCATTTTTCCCTCCTCCCTACTGTGCCTTCTGCAGTAATGGCTTCAAAGTGTGTGCATTTAATGAAAGATCAAGACAGCACATGGCACAGAGAATCCTGGTCCTTGGGGACAGTGATAGCTGACCATTTTAAGGTTTCTGCCCCAAGGCTGGAACTGCTGGAACAGTAAGAACTATGCTGTTGATTTAGTAAGGCATATTGTTCTAGGTGAGTTTGCGGAACTGGAGTCCTTCCATCTTCTGCTCTTCCTGGAAAGAGGATTGCAGTATGGGTCAGGCCACAATCACATGGCACCTTCTCTGAATACTAAGCATTTTTGTTGGTAGAAGGAAGTGGAATGCAGTCATGAAGGTTAAAATGGCCTATTTCTTCTTCTAATCAAATCATTCCTATATTTGAATCTGTCTTTTCAGTAGGTTCCTGCTTCATTCCACTTTTAGTGGGATGTTAGTTTGGCAGAATTGGGTTTGTTTGTCTAGTAGCTTTCATTTGTAAAAAGAATGTTTTCTGTCTCTCACTGTCTCTCTCTAGACAACATCTACACACAACGAGTAGATGTTGTCTAGAGGGGTGGGGTAAAAATCGAATAAATTTTAAAAATTGCAATTTTTTAACCTTTCTTTAATTGATTTTTTGAAATTAATATTGGAGGTCTTAAGCACTTTTGACTGTAGTACTTCAAAATCCAATGTTTGCTTTCTTTACCTTTCAGTATAAGATCTGAGGTTCCCATTTGCTTTTGACATCTTCTGTAAAACTTAGGAAGTGGGTGTCTGAAGGTGATGTTTCATATTTCGTCACCTATGTTCTGTTTTGATTTCTGAGTGCTGAAGTCATGACACTGCAGATTGGTAATATGGTAAATAGTTATCCCCTGTATTTAGTCCAGATGAGATGCTCTGTCACTGGTCACTGATTCAGCATTGTTTTCTAGGCTGAGCCATAGTACTGGCACATGGTTTTTGAAGGCTTCAGGAAATCCTTGATTTGAACACGGGACTCTTGGTCCTTCACTTCTGAGTATGTCATTTTTGTCTGCTTTTTAAATTCCCCAACCAGCTTATGGTCTTAGGGTAGTTAAAATATCCATGCCAAGGCACCTGGTGAGTTAGCTGAAAAAGACAGGAATTTGCCCCTGAGCTTCACACTCCAGCATTCACTTGAACTAGAATTGGTTGACCATTCCTTAGGTCCAGAATAAATGGGTAAGGGCAAAACAACTAATTTTCAAAATAAGTTTAACCTGGTAGGTTTTTCCATCTTTTCACCTAAGCCTGTTTCAAACCTTAAGCACTGCCATATTCTTGATGTCATTGGGACCATGATAGGGCTTGGAGGATATGATGCTCCCAATAGCATTGTGACAAGGCCTAGAGGCCCCCCAGGCCTTGCTGTAGGCTTTTAGGAGCCCTGGTTTCCCTCCCTCATGCAGGGAGAAGGTACTAAAATGCCTCCAGTTTGGCTCTTCATTGGTGATTTGAACTGCAACTCCTATATAATTCTACCTCATTGGCTGTACTTGTAAGCCAAAAACATCTGGAAGGTTACCGTTGCCCATTTCTGCCCTAGATTCTCATACTACGTGGTGTGCTGGCTCACTAAGAACCACAGGAAATACCCTTTTGAGTGTTCCCAATCGCTGTTAAGGGATTTCAAGAACCCTGGAGAGTATCTTTCCTCATACTTCTTGATATGATTGGATTTTGCAGAAGCATATTGTGGTTGCATCTGAAGATGAACAGAGTTCTTGCTATTGTGTATGTTTGGGAATGGAAAGATATGCATTTTAGTGATTGTCAGTGGAGTAAAAATGAACTCATTTTTATCCAGGTTCAGTCTTGGGTTCTGGACTTGGTGTAGATTGTATGTACTGTATGTGTGTGAGAGAGAGCACTAGAGCAGTATGAAAAACTGCATTTTGTCCCTCTCCTGCCACATCACTTATTTAAATGTGGTTCTCTCATCATCTGAAGTTGGCAACATAGTGCCATGGCTTCCCTGCTTCTGATGGGGCTACCCTGTTTTTTGAAATTTCATTTGCTAAATAGCAGTTTCATTTGCCATGTTTTATTAACATTTTCCCATTGGAAAAACCTGTGGCTTCTCACCAGAAATTGCAGGTGAGAGAACATCAGCGTAATGTCCAAATCAAATGAGCCGTCACTGTTTCCAAAAAACTGATTGTAAATTGTGAAAAATGAGATCAGCGCATAGCGGGGACCTTGCAAAGTACCTTAGCATTATTAAAGATGTGGCATATGGCAAAGTGAGCCAGCTGGCTTATACAAAATGGAGATATTTGGCAATGAATGCTAATTTCGTTATTAGGGATCAATTAGAGCATTGGAGGAAGCTTTTAATTAGCCTGTGGTTATAGTTGCAGGCTCCTAAGGCTGAGGTGGGAAAGAGGAGGATAGACAAGTGCCCAGGGCAGGGAGGCGACTCCCAGTCCCTTGGGTCCTGCCTTTGTGTCTGTCTTCAGGAGTCTTGCTGCTTCCTTTCTGCACAGGCTCATCTACCCTCTGCTGCCTTTGTCTCTTTCTCCCCCTCCAGGCGTTGTGCCTTTTGCCATGGTGCTTCCTGTAATCCTTACCAGTATTTTATTTATTTATTTCATTTGTATCCCATCTTCCCTACAGGATCCAAAGTGACTTACAAAAAACATATTACAATAGTAGAATAGTGTTAAATAGAATACCGGGTTAAAACAAATGCACAATACAGTTTAAAGCCATTTAAAAACTAGTCATAATTCTTTAAAAGCAAAAACACCAGCTGCTATTAAAAAGCTTTCATCAACAGCTAAGATCTGTTTAAATAAAATCTCTTGGCCTGTCTCTAGAACAGTGGTTTCCAACCTTTGGTCCCCAGATGTTATTGGACTAATACTCCAAGAATCCTTCACTACTAGCTGTGCTGGTCAGGATTCCTGGAAATTGTAACCCAAGAACATCTGGGCACCCAAGATTGTGAAGCACTGCTCTGGAAGGAGAATAGGAAGGCTTCCTTGGTCAATTTATTTCTCACCCTTTAAGTAATGCCATAGTATTTTTTTTGGGGGGGGGAGCTGTTTTCTACTTCTCCATCATTTTCTCTTCTTTAACCCATCTACACAGCATGTCAGTTTCCGAATCTTCTTTCTGGCAAACACAGTTTTCAAGGGACTGTCCTATATAGCAATTAATACATACATACATACTTTATTGCTACAGCATCCAGCCATACATAAAACAAAATTGAATGCAGAGCTTCAGGTACAGACATATACTGCAAAAGCCAAATCAAATAAACAAAAAGCAATAAAACAACAAATATAAGACCAATGTCTAAGGGTTTGGCTATCTATTCTGACTACTATGGCATGCCGCCCAAAATTTCGCTACCAGTTCTGTAGTTGTCAAATTTTGATCAATTAACACTTGGTTACAGTAGTCTGTGTGCGATTGGCTTGTCATGTCTTTTAAGAGAGGTGTCACAACTAATACCCTTGGTTTAGCATAACTGAACAACTATTTAAAAAGAGTGTGTCTTGCCCCTGATCCACTGACTAGGTCCATACAGATTGGTGCCCAGCCTACCTTGTGTCCTTGTCTGCATCCTTGCCACTATTTGTGCATTTCTGCTTGAAAATCTCATCCCATCAACGAGGAAATGACAAGACTGTGTTGTAGACTGAATTGTTAAGCCAGGCCAGTCAAGGCTTTCTAGTCACTAGCTGTCTGTTGAGCTGAGCACTTTGCTTTATTTTTGTTTGTCCCCCTTTTCCAGCTCACATAAGCTTCCTAAGGCAGCTGCCTAGAAGGGGCTGAGTGGAGGACCTCAAAAGGGGAGTTGATTCCTCTCTAAAGGTCAATGAAGGGAACCTGGCCTTTTCTACATTTGTTGTCCTTTCTCTCCCCCACCTCCCTTTCCTGGAAAGAGAGGGGGAAGGTACACATCCCTAATGTTTAGGATCAGTAATAAGATCCAAACCTACCTCGCCTCCTGTTGT